TCCTGGAGTTCCTGATTAAGAAATAAAATATGAGTCACGGTGCACGGTTACCTTCTGCACATCTGAAAAGGTAACTCAGTGACTGAAAACAGATTATTAGAGGCTGATCCGGCCCTGCTGAATTCAACACAATGTCAAGGGACTGCAAAAAGAAAAAAAAAAAAAAAAATCCCTTCCCCGCTCTGCCCCTCATTCCTACAGCTGTAGGATAAAGGCTCCTGCCAGCTCTTGCATATTTGCTTGCAGTAAATGGGCTGCCCAGCCTGGCTCTCCCGGGGGTCTCTGTGGGCGGGGACGGCCGGCGGGCAGCACGCTGGGCGGCAAGGTGAGGCGCATCCCTTTCCCTCCCTCTCCCGAGGATGACTCAGTCGGTTATTAAAAATTTCCAGCTAAAAATGGCATCAGAAAGCGGTGCCCCAGGGGGAAGAGGGAGAGACGCGAGAAATGGGTTCTGTTCCTCTCTCCGCTTCCTAGCACACACACACACACGCGCGTGCATACACACAGAGCTGATGTGCGGCTCGTCTGGGAAAAGTTTATTTTGCAATAAGGAGGGTTAGTATTCTGCTAAAGGCTTTTGCAAAGACTGGATCCAATTTTCGGAGCCTGTTGCCAATATTTGTGAGTCATTTCCTTGGAATCCTACCTTTGGTGTTTATTTCCCTTAGAAGGAAACTTGTAAAAGAATAATAATAGCTCTCATTCTTCGTGGAAAGTAGCACACTGCAAAGTGAGAGACAACTCGCTCTTTGTTCCAAAACACTTTTTTGTGTGTTTTGTTTACTTTCTTCAGCAGAGGAAAAGTGAAGAAGGCAATATAATTAACCCCATAAACCATCTAATTTATGGTGCCAGCGACATGCACGCGCTGCTGCACGGGAGTGAAAGTTAAGTGGGGAAGCGGTTTTAATTGGTACCTCTTTTAAAGAACAAGTGAGGAGAACCGCCTCGTCATTTGGGAAGTCTCCTCACGCAGCAGAAGGGCTTTGCTTTCTCAGCCCCTGCCTGACGGCCAGGACCCCCTTTTCTCTCAGCCTTCGGTCCCAACAACAGCATCTAGCACCTCTTCAGCGTCAAGTCCCACTGCAAAGGTTAACTGGTCAGAAGTGCTGGCAGCTACAGTTTGCACCTTTTGCCCTCAGGATACTGAAGGGCTTTGCAAACAGAACTCCCACTGAGCTGAGTGGACCCTGGAGGGAGCTCTGTCTGTCTAGCAGGGCCACGCAGCCACCAGCGGGGTGGAGGCAGAGAGCATACGAGACATTTTGGCGAAGAACACTGGAAAAAATATTTATGCTTACTGAAATAAATACCATGGGGCTTTATTGTTCTCCCTGAGCAGGCAGGCAAAGCAGCCTTCAGGAGATGGCTGCAGTAAACTTGATGTCACCTTTTTCTCATATCTGACAGAGCCCCGTGGCAAAAAAAATAGATTGCAAATTTGCTTGTATTTTCATATATTTGCATAAATTCTGGAGCAAACTGTAACTGGTAGAACCACCATTTAAGAGTTCATTGCATATAGGCTGCCAAGCGTAGTGATAGGTGGCAAATACCTACAAAGAAAGAAAAGAGGAAACCTCTTTTCTGTCAGTATAGAGACTCCCCTCTAGTTCTGCTTCATAGAAACCAAAAGCAGGAGAAAGCACAACTGTTAAGAATTCAAAAGCACATTTCCTTTTTTCATTTATTTTCTCTGAAAAAAAAATGCTTGCTAGGAAAATCAGGGGACCCTGACAAACTGGGTGTGCTGGTTTTGGCTGGGGTAGAGTTAATTTTCTTCACAGTAGCTGGTATGGGGCCACGTTTTGGATTTGTGCTGGAAAGGAGCATTGATAACCCAGGGATGTTTTCATTACTGCTGAGCAGGGCTTGCACAGTCAAGGCCTTTTCTGCCTCTCACCCCACCCCACCAGTGAGGAGGCGGGGGGTGCACAAGAAGCTGGGAAGGGGCACAGCCGGGAGAGCTGACCCCAACTGACCCAAGGGATATTCCACACCATATGATGTCATGCTCAGTATATAAAGCTGGGGGAAGAAGAAGGAAGGGGGGGATGTTCGGAGTGATAGTGTTTTTCTTCCCAAGTCACCGTTACGTGTGATGGAGCCCTGCTTTCCTGGGGATGGCTGAACACCTGCCTGCCGATGGGAAGCAGGGAATGAATTCCTTGTTTTGCTTTGCTTGTGTGCGTGGCTTTTGCTTTCCCCATTAAACTGTCTTTATCTCAACCCACGAGTTTTCCCACATTTAGTCTTCCAGTTCTCTCCCTCATCCCACCAAGCGGGAGCGAGTGAGTGGCTGGGGGGGGCTCAGTTGCCAGCTGGGGTTAAACCATGATGCTGGGATAGAGTAACTCTGAAAAGAAGAATTTAACTGAAAAGAATGAAAAGGAAAAAAAAATCAATATGTGGAAATCAGGAAAGTCAGAGAAATATTTCCTTGGAATTCTGTCTTGAGAAAGAGACACTTGAGCATCTGGAGTTGTATAATCTAAATTAGGACAGAAGTTAAGGGAAGATACCTTTGAAACGCTTTCTTGACACAGAAATCAATGTCTGATTTTGAGTTAATTGCTCTTCCACCAAACAGTAAGTCCAGCTCTAGAAAAAGAAAGGAAAAAAAAAAAAAAAAAAAAAAAAAGAAAAAAACAGTGGATTCCTTGAAATTCCCTGAAGTGAGGGCCAACAAATACAGGGAGAAACACTAGATTTTGGCAGGTCTATAGTTTATCTATACCTCTGAAGGATGAAGAGCTGAATTGACCCCACTGGCACACAGACCTGTTGCTCTACCAGTCTAGTTATTTCAGCCAGCCTTAACCCTTACATTTCGCCCGGGTACCATGCTCATGTTAGATGGTGTTGCATATGTTTCTGATACAAGGTGCAGCTGAAGGACTAGAAAATCATCCTTGCCCAGGGGCCATGTGGTCTCGCCGCCGCCTGTCCTCATTCTCCCTCACCGCAGACCAGGGACCACCGCTCTGCACTGGCGTGATGAGATACTGCAGTTCTTCTCAGCTATGTTATATCAACAAGAGAAGGAGGAGATCTCTCTTTCTCTAGCTGCTCCCAACCTGTGGCCTGTCTCTCTGAAGTCTGGTTTTCAGTTTAAATCAAGCATGACCAATTCTGGATGCTTTTCCACTTCTTGCAGCCTTGCTGCTCGCCTCGCCTCCAGAGCCCCGACTGCAAGGATCGCCTTTGACTCTATGCTTTCATTTACTGTGACTGGGCTGCCCCAGTGTGCTGCAATTCAGTGTCCCTAGCGTTCCCACTGCTCCATTCATAACGCTACTCTAACTCCATGCATACCTATCCAGACAATAAACCTTTTAATCAAGGCCCTCACTATCTGCCATCTCTGTTTGGAACGTCCCCCTCCTTGAACTTGTGACACATCAGCCAGTTTGATCCATTCAAACGCAAGCTCCCAACATCCCCCTCCCTCTCCACTGCTGTGGTCAGAGCCGATCCACCACCCGCCTTTCCTCCTTACTTGCCTGCCCCCAGTCCGTTGTTTTCACGTGCAAGGTTGTCACAGCTCCGCCTTAGCTGTCATCGCTCCATCACTGTCGCTGCCGTATGGCTCTTTGCCAGCGATGCTGGCGTCCTTGGGCGTTTATCTGCTCCTCCCAGGGGAGCCTTTATGCCCCCTTCCACAACACTCTTGCCCAGAGGATGCCTTGCCTCCCTCGCCTAAGTTGGCGATACCAAACTTTGTCGCGGCAACCGTCAAGAGTGGTCAGTTAACAATGAGGTTATCCTGGAACTGTTTAAGTGTGATATAGTTGGGGTTTGTTGGTTTTAATGAGTACGTACACCGGTCTGGGTATGCGGTTGTGCCTTTCCCCTTCCCCTCTCTGACTGTCGCCGGCTTCCTCAGAGCGTGGGTCTGTCTGCACAGCCTGCCTGCAGTGCTCCTGCAGGAGGATTGCCGACTGCTGCTGCAGTGCACGTGTGCCGTAACGCCGGGAAGGTAACAGCTACCAAAAATGACGGCAATTTTGTTTCCTCACCACTCCAATCCAGATGTTAACAATGGTGCAGTACAGTCAAGAAACGCTATTCTCTCCTCGAGTTGTGTTGTTACGCGATGGAAACACTCCAGAGTATATGATAAAGACGGAAACCGCTGCAGTACTTGGGTACAAATCCAGGAGCAAAGAAAGGAATAAGTCGTCTTAAGCCTATCCCCTTGTCTTTATTGATCTCGGCGAGACCTGCAGCATTACTGTCACGGGCATTTTATATTTAAGTTTGGGTTTTTAGAGGCATTCTGGAACTGTATAAAGAGCCCTTTTCACTGACATGGCATCAGGCTTGTTATAATGTGAATGGCATCATTACAGTTCTCTCATTAACATCATAATGGCTCTGGAGGAATACTGAGTGAAAACCCCAGCAAATGGAGTAGCGTAGCAATGTATAGTAGACTTACTGCGTAAAACTGCATACGGAAAAAAGTTTGACATTTTAACCTTCAGGCTGCTGTAGATGCCTCGGGGTGTCCTCACGCTGCGTGCATTTGGCTGACAAAATGGAAAAATTGTGGTAGCCTAAGGATGGAGGGCTGGGTTCAATAAAAAACTGTGCCTGGCTTCCATGCCACTGAAGCCCACACAAGGCTCCCAAATGGATTTTTCAAAATTGAATCCAGCCCTAAGTGTCAACCTTTTGCTGTAATTGTGCATAGTAAATGCATTGTATGCTCACATGTACATCTTTCATCCTTTATTTCCAGTGGCGTTAATGGAAATGTAACAATGCGTGTGCTGTTCTGCAAAGTCTCATTGAAACAAACGGGATTTTGGATGAAATCCCTCCATTGCATACGATAATGTAATATAAGTGGGTTGGGCTTAGGGCTGGAGGACGATGAGATCTGGTTCTATTTCTGGCTCTGACACTGATTTGCTGCGCGACTTCTGACAAGATGCTCAGGAGTGGATTTTGCCACCCTTAATGGGGAGAAACAGTAGGTTGGCTCCCTGGGAGCGATGCCAGAGATCCTGCTTGCGGAGCTGGGTCCGGTAGCGCTTTTGCAGTAAGCATCACCTCGTGCTTCAGGCTTCCAGTTCTGCCGTGTCCAACTTTACCTTCCAGGAGGCTGACTTTTCCCATGCGCTGCGTGCTCGCAGCTTCCTTCCCACTCATTTGCAGCAGCTGGAAATCAGTGCTGCTGCAAATCTAACGGGAGCAGATAGCACGCCCAGAGTCACAAGCCCTTTTAAAAGCCTGGCTCTCAGCTTCTGTCTGCTGAAGCAGTTCCTTTGCTACAAAATGGGGCTTATTTTTGTAGCTGAGTGCCACCTATATGGCTTTGTAATGCACACTGAGACCTACAAGCTTGGTTTGGGGCTTCAGTCTTCTGGTTGTTGGGTTTTTTTTTTCCCCCCTAGGGAAGCTCTATTATTTATGCCTTGTTTTTATACAGCTGGCAATGTGGACAATGTGCATGGACAGTAGCTGTTTACAGAAATTAACTGGTCTGCCTCTATTAATTTTGCACATTGTAAATAGCAGAAGCAGTTCATTTACTTTACTGGCTGTCCAGAGAACTCGTTTTTTCCAGACAAATGATCAGCACTGTGCAAAAGGCATCCCAACGCTTCCTTCCTCCCTTCCTCCTTTCCTTCCTTCCTCCCTTCCCAAGCCTCCCTCCCTCCCTTCCTTCCTTCCTTCTTCCCTTCCTTCCTTCCTCCCTCCCTGCCTCCCTGTTTCTGCTTAAGCATAAGAAAGACCTATTGGTGATGAAATACGGTAAAAAGAAATGCAGTTGAAATCTCTGATTCTCATAAAAAATATTCCATAAAGAGATGCAGAATTCATTATGAGCAAAGAAATCCTGACTTTCCCAAAGCAGCAGCAAGTTCCTTCCAACCCTTGTTCTCCGAGGACAAACACGGAGCGTTGACATCATGCCAGCATGGGAAGATTGATGTCTCCCTGTGAGTGATTCCTTGCTGCAGATTAATGAGAAGAGTCCATGGGTGCTTTCTAATGACAGCATAATCTTTTCAGCTGCAAAATATATGACTTTTTAGCTGCTTCTTGGGCCAATTTTTGGCTCTGCTCCGAGGTCAGCAGGCTGACCCACTGCTTGTTTTGACCAGTCTTGCCATGTGTCGGTACTCAGCTGGTAACAAAAGGTGTGGGGAATAAATACCGTATATTGTCTGCGTCACGGGTAGCTTCCAGTGGGCCGGTCTAGCGGCTTGCCGGTCCCCGTCACTGTTTCTTTGCCCAGGAAGAGCAAGGTGGCACGAACAGGCTACCGCGAGAAAACGCAGCGTGCGATCAGTACGCTGACTCTGAGGAAGGGGTTTGGGCGCCCTTTGCAGCACGACTGCAGCCAGGCCTGGTGGCCTTTGCTTAGGGCAAACCGCTCGGGGATCTCCCCTTCCCCTCCCACGTTCTGCCCCGCTGAGGAGCGCGGGGCAGACCCACGCACCCACCCATTCTGGGGAACAGAGAGCGCCTGCTGGAAACCCATTTCTTAATAAAGTAGCAGCCTTGTGCATTCTTCCAGGATTTAAGAAAACAACTGGCAGATGTGAACGATTTATTTTTCCTCCCTCTTCTGCTGCGGTTTATTTTTTCCTCTTGTTAGCGAGCGCTCAGCCGCTAACACAAACAATCGCTGAAATTCCACCTGCCCACCTGCGGCCCCTCCTTCTCGCTGCTTCCTCGGGCCCTCGTCTTCCTCCGGGAGGGCTGCGCCGAGGGGAGCCTGCATCCCGCTTCCTCGGAGAGAGGAGGAGGAGGAGGAGGTGGAGGAAGGAGAGGGAGGGGCCGGGCCGTGGCTGGGCGCATTGTTCCGCGCTCCTCTGCCAAGAAGTAGGTGACTATGAACTCATCCCTTGCCCCTCGCAGAAAGTTTGCTCCCTCCCTCCTTCCCCCCCGTCCCCGCTCCTGCTTAATATTCCGCCTGCTCCGCCGATGTTGTGCTTGGCTTCAGTGGGACTGCAACTCACGGCTGGAAACCGGAGCCAATTTTCTGTCTTAAGTCTCGCAGTGTTTTGACTGGAGGCAGATCCAGTTCAGCCCGATCGGGGCTCGTGGAAACAACTACCTAAGTCCCTGCTGCCTGCTCCGTTTGGGAGGGAAGGAAGAAGAAAGAAACGCGATCCCCAGCTGCCGGGCGCGCTCGCTCTCAGGCACACGCACACCCCGCGGCAGGCACACGCACCCGCACCCGCACCGCAGGCACACGCACACGCACGGACTCGCACGCCCGCCGGTGCCGAGCGCGCCGTGCCAGCACCGCCGGGAGAA